CACCAGAGTATGTTGATCCCAGGCCAAGAAGTTGACCTACGAAAATGAACAAAAACAGAATTTATAACCAATAATGCACTTTTAGCTCATTTTCATTCCAACCAAGGTAAATCTAAGAAAACACAAAAAGGAAGTAAAAAGCTATAAAATGTCAAGAACTAACTCAAAATAATGGGTGAATAACATAATAAATCATGTGTAAAAATGAACCGAACAACAAGCAGTCTACTATCTGAGCAGAACTCTGACAGAAGTAGAAAGAAATTACTCTGCAATCGAAAGGCTTTGTCTAGCTTTGTACTTCACTGCTGTAAAACTCAGACATTACATGCTGCCATTTACCACTTATATCATTGCCAAGACAGACCTAATCAAATACATGCTAACAAGGCCAATGTTGAGAGGCAAAATTGGGAAATGGACTCTAGCTCTGACAGAATTTGCTTTCAGATATGTCCCTCAGAAAGCTGTCAAGGGACAAGCTGTAGCAGATTTCCTAGCCGATCATCCAGGAGAAGAAATTGAAAATATGGACTCTTTGGACATAGCAAATGCAGATCTGCTGACAAGAGCTCATGTTTGCCTTAACAATCCCATTTATTCGATTCATCTTACACCTTGGAAGCTGTACTTTGATGGATCAAAAACTGACTTAACTTCCGGAGCAGGGATTGTTCTAGAGGAACCTTTGGGAATCATACACTGTTATTCTTTCCAGTTAGATTTCCAATGCACCAACAACAGAGCTGAATATGAAGCTCTAATCATTGGCCTCGAAATGTTGGTAGAACTCGGAGTCCAGTCTGTAGAAATCTTGGGAGATTCTATGCTTGTTTTAAAGCAGATTGCTGGAGAATACAAATGTTTGAACCCTGCTCTAGCTGTCTATTTAGTAGCAGCTAGGAATCTTTTGACAGAGTTCAGGGAAGCCACTTGGGAACACATCCCAAGAGAAGAGAACTTTGCAGCCAACGAGTTGGCTCAAATAGCTACAGGAATACAAATGCCGGAAGACTGTGTGCAAAGGATTATCAAAGTAGGGAAAAAGAGTCTGCCATCTGTTCTGGCCAGAGGAATGGAAATAGACGTCAATTCTGCCATAATCACTAAGGATGACTGGAGAACTCCCATCATACTACTTACAATACCCAACCTTGCCTTCTGAAAAGAAAGTCAGAATCATGGCTTTAAACTATCTTATGTGGAATGAAGATCTGGTCCGAAAAAGCAAGGATGAGATATTGTTAAGATGCTTGGGAAAGAAGGAGTACATGAAGGTCATGGGAGAAACCCATGAAGGGATATGTGGAGCGCATCAAGGTGGAAGGAAAATGTGTTGGCTAATTAGAAGGTATGGATATTTCTGGCCAACCATGATGAAAGATTGCATTGATTATTCCAAGGGATACGAAGCTTGTCAAAGACATGGACCAATCCAGCAGGTTCCTTCGGTTCCCATGAATCCAGTAGTCAAGCCATGGCCATTCAGAGGATGGGCAATGGACCTCATTGGCAAGATTTATCCAGCCAGCAGTCAACAGCATTGTTTCATCATTGTAGCTACGAATTATTTTACCAAATGGGTGGAAGCCAAGCCTGTTAAGTCCACCACATCTCAAGAAATCATTACTTTCATAGAAGAACAGATCATACAGAGATTTGGCATTCCAGAATCAATCACTACAGATAGGGGATCTTCTTTCATATCTGGAGATATGCTAAACATGGCAGAAGCGTTCAAATTTAAGCTGCTCCAGTCCACTCCTTATTATGCTCAAGCCAATGGACAGGCAGAATCAAGTAACAAGGTGATAATCAATATTATCAGAAAAATGCTTGAGAAAAATCCAAAGCAATGGCATGAGAAGCTATCAGAAACTTTATGGGCTTACAGGACCTCGAAGAGAGAAGCAACTGGCATGACTCCATATGCTTTAACCTACGGTCATGATGCGATTCTACCCATGGAGATAGCAGTCCAGTCCCTCAGAATTGCCCATCAAAACGAACTGGTTGGAGAAGACTACAGTCAAGCCATGTTGCTAGAACTAGAGGGGTTGGATGCAAGTAGAATTGATACCCTCAACAAACTCTTACCAGGAAAACAAGCTGTGTCAAGAGCATACAACAAGAGAGTTAAAAACAAGAGTTTTGAAGAAGGAGAAATAGTCTGGAAAGCAGTTCTGCCCCTTGGGATGCATATAGCTGGTTATGGAAAGTGGTCACCAACTTGGGAAGGACCTTTCATAATTAACCAAGTCTTGGGATTAGGGGCATACAGACTACAGGATCGAGACGGAGAAATCCATGCTGCGCCAATCAATGGCAAATGGTTAAAGAAATTTTATCCAACCATGTGGGATTCACAAGCTGTGCAGACAGATCCTGGGATAGAAAGGCAACAACTTGAAACTGTTGTTTGATTTTGTTTTAAATCTTAGTTCTGTGTTAATGTAATCTTCCAAATTTTCTTTCAGTATATCAAGGAAAATCAAAATTCCACAAAATAAATAAACTTTTATTCAAATAGTCACCTCGGTGACTAAGCAGTTCATTACAAATCCAAAATTTGAAATTTGAAATCCTTGTTTTTTGAGGGTCTCCTGCAGATTGGTCTTCTTAATAGAGAGCTCCTTTTGAAGCAGCACCCCTTGATGAATTGAAGCTTCTGCAACTTCCAAAGCTGGCCCGGAAGCTGAAACCATGCTCTGCACAAGGAAGGTGGCCTTGGTCTTAGAACTTCCAAACCTCCCTGCATTCTGCCAGCTGTTTTTGGAGCTCCTCAATCTGTTTCTCCAGCTTGTCTGCAGCAGCCTTGGCCTCTTTGTACCCCGCAACCATTTGATCCAATTCTGCCTTTTGTTTTGCATAGTCAGCCAAGTTGGCATCGTGTGTAGCCTTGCAGAGCTCAGAAGTCTTGAAGGTGGGCTTGAGATCCTCATAGCGATCATGAATATTGAGCACATCTCTGGCCAAGCTCAGACTTATTTCAAGAATAGGCTTGGGAGCCATGTTCTGCATGTGCAGCAGGTCCAAGTCCTTCATTAGTTGCTCAACAGCTCCCCTGTTTTCATCCAGCTCCAGCTCAGTAGACTGCCAGATCTTCACCCTCTCCATTGCCTCATCTACAGCTTTGAATTTGGCCTTGCTGGGGGTAGAACTGAGTTTCTCCAGCCTGTCCAGTTGGGCATCCAAGTCCATAGCTTCGAACTCAGCCAATTCCGGATCAGCAAGGGAGGCTGTGATAGTTGAATCAGGAAGGAACTGGATAGGCATCTGCAAAATCAAGTCATAAATTAGCAAAAGGGCTGAAATGAAAGGAAAATCATGACATATTAACACTTACAACTGCAAGGAGAGGCTTCGAAGGACTGATCACCACTGCCAATGATCCAGCAGTTCTGGGCACTTCCACCTGAAAGGAACAAAAGTTAAATGGAAACAAAGAAAGGACAGAAGCACAGAGAATGGACCAGAATAAAATACGACAATGGATTACCATGGGTTCAGAAACAGCAGCAGCCAATCCCATTTCAGATTCTGGGGTTGGAGCAGGAATTTCCACCTGCTCCACAGGTTCCAACACAGCCAGAGCCTCTATCTGCTCCCCAGACCCTAATATTGGTTGTTCTGCTTGAGCTACAACAGGGGATTCTACCTGTTCTGCAAGCCCAAAAATAGGTGGACTAGTTGGAGCTGCCACAAGAGTTTCTGCCTGTTCAACTGGCTCTGATACAGAACCCTCTGGCTGCTCCTCAGATGCTGGAGCTGCAGTGGAGTGTTCAGCCTCTGTATCTTCAAAGAGGGCCAGCTCCGAGCTAGTCAGTTCTGTCCCAGGGATAGCGCGCTGTTTCTGAGCCAAGGTAATGCTCTCTGCTATCACCTCAGCAGGAATCTCCTCCTAAACAAACAAACAGAAGTTTTAAAAAAGAAAAGCAGAAAAAAGCATATTTATGTGGTCAGAATCCAAGCTCACCTCTTCTTCAATCTTTTTTCCCTTCTCTTTTGAAGAGGCTTCTGTTGCTGTTCCTTGCTGTTTCTCCTGCTCAACAGCCTCAAAGGCTTCTCACAGCTCGTCATCAGTTCCAGAGGCCTCAGTTGGATTGGCAGTAGCAAACTCCTCTGTCTCATCAGATTCAATCTCACTCCTCTTCCTAAGTCTTTTAGGCCTAGTGAGAGGAGGAGGAGGGGGACTTTCAACTGCACAGAACAAGTAAAGGTTAAAGGACAGAACAGAACAGACCGAGAGAAAAGAAAATCTGACTACCAGAACATTACCAGAGGTCTCAGGCTGGGCAGCACTACCCTGAGCAGGGGTGCTTTCCTTTCTTTTCTTCCCAACCGTGGGGGTAGCCACAACAGGCTGTTCTGCCGTATCTTCATCTTCCTCGCCAGAAGGAGGTTCTAAGTCCCCAGCAGCTATAACAGAAGAAACTGTACAAGAAATGAACATGGTCTGAAAACGATCCAACAAAGAAAAATGGAAGGAACAGATTATTGGAAAGGCTTACCAAATACTTCTCCGGCCTGCATTATTCCTCCACCTATTTTCTTCACCAGGGAAGGGCCTGATAAGGACAGAACAGGTTTTATTTTTGGATTCACAAACAAAGACAAAAAATAGACAGAATCTAAAGTCTACCTTCTATAACTTGAGCATTGACATCTTTGATGGTCCGCACCACAAAATTCTTAGCCTCTGCCTCTGCATAAACAGTCCCTGAAGTCCAGCCTTCAAAAAGAATCTTAAAAGCATCAACCGAGGCTGGCAGATCATGGCATCTAGCCATCCACCAGGCATCAAAATCGGCAGAACTGCAGGTATTCAGCCTCCAGGAAGGGAAAAGAGCGTCTGAAGTGTTATTTATCTTATTAACTGCGCACCTAGCATCCTTGTGCACTTCCAGATCATCTAAATTCCTCCAGGAAGTGGCTCGATTACAGCTTCTGTAAGACTTGAACGGAATGACCTGAGGGCAGCCGAGCTGTCTGGCGCAGAAGTTAAGGTGATAGACTTCTGCCCCCAGATGATAATTCGGAGGCTTCCCTCCGCCATGAGGAAGATCCCTCACAAGAGCCACACTTAGGAATTTCTTCCTAAAGTCAATCCTGGCTTCTTCTTCTTCCGGTTCTCTATCAAAAAGTCGATGTCCAGGCTGGAACCAGGGATACGTTCTCCTAATCACCAACTGCCACTGAGCTTCAGATCTTTTAGTACAGTGCCGGAACCACATCAGGTACTCTTCAATAGAGCGCTTGGGCACTTCTGCCGACATCAAGGGAGCAGCCAGAACTTGGTCTTCAGGCAGAACTATGTCAGGAAAACGGAGTTCCGGAAAGTATACCTGCAGCCAGATCTGGATCATCCAGAACGAGTCAGGAGCAGTTAAATTCAGAGGATTCTCCAGGGTGGCAGTGTGCAGGTTCTTGAAGAGATGGGCCAGAACTGTAGGTCCGAGCCCAACGTCAGTATGATTGTGAAGAGCTTCTGCCAAAAGCCTATACTCCAGCAGAACTGCAGAAGAACGATTCGGAAACACGAATCTGTTCAGCCAATACAGAAGGAACAACATGTGCTGCTGATCCTTGTCCTTTTCTGTGCTAAACTTTCTCAAATAATTGGAGAAAGAGCAGTTCTGGTTGATGACAGCAGGAGAGATGGTGAAGGGCTTGGCCGCCTTCTCTTGATTCTTCCTTCGATGGTACTCTCCGACGGCATCAACAGGTCTTCCATGCGGCCTGAACCCAAAAATCTGAGCCATATCCAGAAGGGTTGGCGCCATTGGGCCCACACGAAAGTCAAAAGTTTTGCTGGCAGAATTCCAGAAACATAGAGCAGCAGCAAGCAAATTCTCATCCCGGTTGATGGACTGTTTGGATAGCAAGATGGCATCATAAATCCCTGCTCTCCTCCAGTAAGCTCCATACTTAGGGAGAAGCTTGTCAATCCAGTCCGCCCATTTCACAGAACTATTCCTCACCTCACTGGATGGGAATGAACGACTCAGGCTCTTGCTAACCCAAGAATAAGAAGTTAGGGCAGAATTGCTTTCAAAACACAGGGGAGCTACGACATCCCTTTTCATCAGCTCTGCCAATTCAGACGGAACAGTGCCAAACTAGCGAGGCCCCAGAATCAGAGTATCCCCAAAGAGATGAAGAACG